ACATATATATATATATATATATATATATATATATATGTGTGATATTGAACAAGAAGAAGAGATCACTGAATTTAAAGAAATTCATCCGAGAAAATAGATATTATATGAATAATGGATACAAAACGAGTGACTTGTATCAAAACGAATTTCGTTGCAAAATAAGCGCAGTGAGGTGCGTACGAAAATAGCATTATATAGAGAAACGCGAAAGCGCCATTTTTGATGGCACCGAGGCGAGTCAACTGCGCGCAATTTTAATGATCTTGCAATGAGAATGTTCGTTGTAACCTTGGAGAGTCTTGTTGAGCCTGTTTCTCATGGCTGGACTATCTACGTGGTTGCAAAGATCCTGTTCGCAACATAGGTATCCCGTGGGACATTGCTGTTCTTTGAAGCTCTCGTCGAGACAACCACTGTAAGCGCTATGCTCCGATCTTAATAACGATGGATAAAAGCAGCCCCTGCCACGGCACATGTATCCTTGAGGCACGCATTCCGGTTGATTGCAATAACACCTCACTTCGCGGACGGACGGCGAGTCTGTAAAACGGAAAGGTACATCAAGATTAATTAATTTCCGTTATTACGGAGTGGAAGTGAAATCGAATCGATCGATTTGACCAAGTTAAGAAGGACCACTCGGTGAGAGGTATTGCATGCAAGAACATCGAGCTGATCATCCAAGAGGATCCGCAGCAACGAGACAGAAATAATATTATTACAATATATATCAGCGCAAATCGGTTCGAAATTGTCGGACAAAGGGAGAGAAGTTTGAGGTCAGAGAACAGTCCGAGCTGGAATAATACCGAAAGTGTGATAAAGCGAACAAGACATTCCTTCGAAGAGCCACTCGTCTTTCCTTTTCCATACTGCTTTTGATAATAACAGTCGTGATTGATAATAAGTGACTCACTCTGATTAATGACGCAATATCACGGCCTGTCTTTACATGTGGTAAGTTCCCTTCCACTGGTCTCCAACATACATGAGATTTCATCAAGGAATTTATACATTTATACATACCGATCTGGTAATGCACCTCTGCTAGGACTCCTAATTGATTACATTTCATCTTTATTTATTTATAAAGTGGTGTAAGACAATTCGAGCAATATAATTCGAGGATCGTTAAAACATTTTCATGTTCGAACATCCTAAGCAGAACTGCCTTGATATACTTGGCGGCCTCCCCTAATGAGTAGCCGGCTGAGAGTCATAAAATATTATACCACGCTCGTTGCAACAGGTATACGGAGCTTACTTTCATTTACCTGCCGGCTACTCCAAGGCTTCCCTCCCGTTCGCCCATGTGACTTGTATAATTTGTATATATCTCGGCTCGTATAGAAATCTTACTATTATACATGGCCTGAGTAAAATGTATAAACATGTGTGTATACGTGTTCGTAGCATATTTGTCAAACAAATTTCTTAAAATAAACGGCAGAGTGGCGGGAAATTTTCGGTAAGCAGCAATGTTTGAGATCCTTTGCTCGCAGAGGCTTCCCTCTCGTTCGCCGATGTGACTTGTATAATTTGTATATATCTCGGCTCGTATAAAAATCTTACTATTATACATGGTCTGAGTAAAATGTATAAACATGTGTGTATACGTGCTGGTAGCATATTTGTCAAACAAATTTCTTAAAATAAACGGCAGAGTGGCG